TATTGCATTAATCCAGCAGCTGTTGCTGCTGCTCAGCTTTGCTCTCATTTTGTCAGAACCAAAGGATGGTTTGTTTGCTGAGACTCTGATCACTTTAGCAGCTGCTCTAGCCTTTAATCCTCCTCTCCTCTTACAGATGTGCTAGTCTCCCAATATTATACTGGCCGTCTTATATTACATCTAGCTCTCTCCCTCTTTCTCTACGAGGAGGTATTGTAAAGTTTTAATTATCACCTTTAAAACAATTTGACAGAACATTTTTGGTTTGTAGTTGTTAACTTACCTCTATGTAGTCAGCATCCAGATTTACACATTTCCCCAGCGTTTCTTGACCCTCCGAATACTGTTATTGTAGAAGTCTGCAAATTGTGCCTTCAACCACTCTTCCACTTCATGAATGACGACGTCATCTGTGTTGTCAAATCGGCGATCCCACAACAAATTTTTCATTTTTGGGAAAAGAAAAAGTCACTTGGTAATGATGACACTAACAACACTACATCAATCTACCATAATAACTTCTGGGTGATGATTATTACTTTACAATACCCCCTCATACTTCTCCATCTTACACTTTAGTCACTTCTGGCCCAACCTGTAACAAAAATGAAGGACACAATGAGCTGATTTTCTCAACATCATGCATTTAGGGACCAGTGTTGACATGGACAAAATTTCATCAATATGCCATAATAACTTCTGGGTGATAATTATTACTTTGTGATACCCCCCTCTGTGTGTGCGTGCACGCATGTGCGTGTGCACACATGTGCGTAATTCAATAACTGCATTTTAAGGCCAATATGTTGTTGTTTCCTGCCTTCAAGTCGTTTCCAACTTATGGTAAGCCTAAGGCCACACTATCATGGGGTTTTCTTGGCAAGATTTGTTCAGAGGAGGTTTGCTGTAGTTAACCATTTTTAATGCAGACCAACATATACAAACCCACTCCTTTTCTTCACTCATGTATGCAGTTAAAAAAAACCCTACACAATTATAGTGATCTTTATGCAGGATGGGACACAGTATTCAATCTTCCTCTTTTTTTAAAAATAAAATAAATCAGCCCTGCTTCTGTTTAGTTTAAAATTTGAGTGTGTGTTTACTAAAGCGTTATCAGAAGTCCCTGAAGGAAAAGCTTATCTCTAGAAATGCTAAACCTGGCCTGCAGTCTAAACGGCACCATCAATTGCACCAGGGAGTCACAAGCAGCCCTTTGTTATTCTCTCTGCTTTGGCAATTGTGAGGGCCAACCAACAACTGACTCCTGCAAATAAGAGAACCAATATGGTATGGTGGTTTGACTGCTGGACTAGGGCTCTGGGAGACCAGGGTTTGAATTTTTGCTAGACTGGGAACCCATTGGTCAAGTCACATGCCCTCAGCCTTAGAGAAAGACAATGGTAAATCCTCCTCTGAGTAAATCTTGCCAAGAAAACTCCATGATAGGGTTGCTGTGTCAAAAATGACTTGAAAGCACACAGCAACAACTCCTGTAAAACACTCATGTAAGGAGAAGGGAAGATGATGATGGGAAATGGGAATGCCAAGAATGCCAAAGCTTAGGAAAGTTACTATTTGGGTTCCCAAAATCCTCCAGCAAGCATAGTTGAGATATCCTGGGAGTTACAGTCAAAAAAGTAACTTTCCTGAATCCTGAGGTAAAGCTAGTTCTAAGATTGAAATCAGACAGCTTTAAAGAGTTTTGAAAGAAAGTGGTGATTGTTATGATACCCTGGTGTATTACTTTTGCCCTATGGTTGCTTCTAGTCAAACAGATTTCTTAGATAAAAAATAAACAGTATCATAACTGAGACCTAAGAGGCACACAACAACCATAACAACAATTACTCCAACAACTAGGGTTAGTCTTCATATTTAATAAATATAGCTCTGGGCAAAGTTCAAATTTGATTTTCAAAATTTCTTGTATTAGAATATGGATCTTCTTCCAGTATATTTTCATTTTAGAGCACTTCCATCAAACATGTATCCAGGAGCCTACATTCTGGTTGCATTTCCAACAATTACTCATCTTTACTTTGTATATTTTGCTATCTTTAAAGGAGTTAAATGCCACCTTTGCTCCATTTTCCAATAATTTTCCTTCAAATCTTGTGAGCAACTAAATTTCCACGTTTTTGTCCTTGCATTCTCCCAACATTCAAGTTCTGTTGTTTTCCCACAATTTGTTGCCCAT